AAAAAAAAAATCATTCAAACAATTTAAATCACAAGGTAACTTCTATTAACATCTACAAAACAATCATAGTTGACAAATTAAAAAGTAGTCATATCAACAATGTTTTAGTCTCAATTAAGCTAATAATATCCCAACCAAAATCGAGTCAAAGAAATATATGAAGAGAAAATCATCAATATGCAAATATGAAGAATATTCTTACTTTATAAGGGAAATTTAAAATTATTTAATTTTAAATAATTCAGATATTTTAATGAAATTCTATCCAAACAACATATTTTGTAATAAAAAATTTAAATTTTCTATAAAGTTTAATTACATTCTTAAAACTTTTTATCCACACACTATAAAGATATTTCAAAATGTTACTAAACTTAAAAAAAAAAAGAATAACATTTGATCAAACAAAAAATTAACATAGTAAATGAAGTGAAATGGAGAATCTTTTAAGACCAATACAATGGTTTTTCAGTGGATATGGAGACTAATTTTTTTTTTGTAGATATTTTGTTCGAGGCTTGAAAAATAATTTGGTGAATGTAAAGTTGAATTGAGCTGAATTGAAGATTTTTTTTGACAGTATGGACTTTTGAGAAAGAAAAAATTGAAATAGTGATAAAATGTATTTATTTTTTAAATAATTTCAAGGACAAATTGAATATCCATTTATAAAAAACCTTACTAATAAATGAATTAGATGATGGGCGGTGCTTTGTTTTGATTATGGTTAGGAGTAGTTTGATTTCTTCTCTGATTCGTGAGTGTGTAAAATGATCCGAGAAAGGAAGGAAAAAAAAAGACAGTTGTGTAAGATAATGATTTTCCCTTTTTTAGTACTCACTACTACTCCCCTCTAGGTTATCTCTATCAAAGATATTAGAACTACTTGAAGATATATCGAATACTAGTCGACACTAAGACATTGAAGACTCTTGAAATATATATCGACAATAGAGAAAAAAATGTTAGAGTAAGTGATCAAATGAGACAAGTACTTATCTTATTTATAACAGAATTGTAGAGACTCTTTGTCTCTCACCTCTTCAATCCTAACTACCAAATCTCCACAAATCTAACGTCAAAGGTCATAACTTTTTACTTTCCAAAAATGTCCCATTAACTCCTGCATCCTTGACAACTACAAACTCAAGTCTTTTTGTCATTATGCTTCTTGAGGCTAGGGGACTACTATACTTATAGGACGACAACAACCAAAGGATCATAACGACACTATAAAGATTTTAACATATAGCATATAAAGCTTAGGGAACTGATGTATTACATTTTTTCGACTACACCTTAGCCATCTGGAAAGAAATGTACTTGGCCTACATGTATGCATACTTGGACAATAACATATTTGCAAAGACAACATCTAGGTGACCAGATCATTAATAGAAGTCAAAGCTAATTAATTAAAGAACATATCTAAAGTATAATTATCACGATGATAAGAGTTAATTAAGGTAATTAAGCTTATGAACTAAGATTCATTCAAGGGATAACCCATAATCATAATATAAAAAACACAATATTCGTGATAAATTAATTACATTTATTATTTAAAGTCAAAGTGTCTTCTACAAACACAACCTCTTTTCATATATAAGAGGACAATATTTAAAAAATTATTGACTTTTTGAAAGTTTAAAGATAAAAGTATAAGAAAATAAGAGTTTTTAAATATCTTTACAACATATAATGTTATAGCAATACAATTAACTTTTATAGTATTTTAATGTTTTAAAACAATTCAATTCATAATTAAGTATTTTAATCTAATCTAAAGTGACAACATTGATCCAGTGACAACTAACAATAAGCATATATGACCACAACAAAGGTTACATTACTTCTTTTTAAATTTGTGAGAAAAATAATTGATAGTTGACATGATTAGAGAATCCTGATCCAATATGACAAAAGTATTAATAAATTTTAACTTAGTCTTAAAGGAATAAACACCTAAAATATACTAATTAAAGAGTTTAAAATTTTTGAAAAAATAATAAAAGATTAATTAATGACTTGTCGAAATTTAAATTGAAATAGTTGAATTTTAAGAACACATTTTATAAGCATATTACTAAAATAACCCTATAAGACTAACAAAATAAGAATACATTTTAATAGTGTATATAACATTACAATACACAATTTTATATTGTTATGTATACACAATTATGACTTTTCAACATTTGTATATTGTTATCACATATTTTTGACCTAGAATAAGTTGTAAAATTATTCATAAACTATGTGCAAAGGTTTTTTTTCTCTACTAATATTATCAATAACTTAGAGTTATTTAATATTATTTAAAAGTCATCAAAATTTCAAAATTCTATAAGGGACCATAGTGTAATAAAAAGGGAATAAAGGACTATTGGTAATATTTTCTTAAAAAAATTGCAAGACTGGAAACGAAGCGTTTAGATTTAGAAGAACAGAAGATTCAGCTTCGTCGATCTTGTTTCTTCTATCATCATTCGACATCGCGTTAGGGTTTGCAGATTTTCAATTTCCCTTCGATTCGCTACCCTCCACCCTCAGCATCTCGCAATTCCCTCGTTGTTCCGTTTGGGAGACTCATTAAATCGAGAGATATCGGCTCACAAGGTAAAATATTCGTTCCTTGTGCTTCAATTTGATTATGGTCCTCGTGTTACATACTCGATTCCTGTTCGGCAGTTTTACGTAATTCGAATAAAATGTTATTTACGCATCATTTAATGTCTGCTGATGATATCTGTCTGGAAAAACTAATTGAAGTGTGAATTATTATTTTTTTGGTGCTTTTAACCTGCATTGTGCGTTATGATATGTATCTTTATTCAATAATTGTGATCCATTTTCCTCATAACTTATGATCCTGCGTTGAAGTTGAGGCATGATTTTGGTACTTTATAATTTTAATTTCAATGAAATTGAATGATATGGTAAATTTGAATTAGAAATCGAACTTTGTTAGATACATTATGAATATGGGCTTGGACCCATCCCTATGTAATGCTTTTGTATGTATATATGTTCCTCAGTTGTGCTAATTGAAATACAAGAGGATTGTATCACGTAAATGTATACCATTTCTCTCTTCAGACTACAACATAAGAAAGACGAGCATGTAAACAAAGGAAAAAAATGGAGGCTGAGGCGCAAATCTCTCACGATTCAAATACTCAATTTCAGCCAGAGCCTGTTGTCTCAGTTCAAAAAGGGGATCCTGGTGTTTCCTCATCTGTGGCAAATGCTGTTATCCCTCAGCAGCCAGGTCTGTTCTGTGCATCATTCCTATTTTAATTTACTGAGCAGTTGAGTTTGATACGTGTAGTTATGAGATGGGAAGCTAAAAGATTAATTTGTTTGGTGTCATATATAGCTACAAAAAACCAACCAGGCAGTGGGCAGCGGGACTCGACAAGAGGAGGAGAGTTTCTTCACTGCATTGCGACAAGTTGGGAAGGTACGTCATCTTTGGCGTTATTATTTAAACTTTACTAGGCTTGTTTCATATGGTATCATAATGATTGCTGATTGAAATATTATTGTTTATAGAATTTTGAGAAAATCACTTCCCGTGTACAAAGTAAAAACAAAGATCAGGTATCCGTTACAACTCCATGTGGCTTCTTATCCCTTTGCATTTTCCCATTCATTATGTTTAGTTTATTGTGAACAATATGTTTTCATTTTCTCACTCTTCTCTATGTGTGGGGGTTACTTGCAGGTCAGGCATTATTACTACCGGCTTGTGAGGCGGAGAACAAACTTCTTGGTCCAGGACTATGTTTGGATGCCAAAAACTCTAAAGATACTAATGCTGCAATGCTTCGCTGGTAATAATTTACTTGGAGTGGTTGTTCATTAAATGGCTTTATATACATGTATGTGCACGTGTGTGTAAGACTAGAATATTTGTCCACCAAGAAGTTATTTCTATTAAATATTTCAAGGGCTTATGAGAGAATGGTGAAGAACTGGAGTTCAGTGATTTTATTGTATAGATATAGGAAAATAATGGAAAGAACAGGTTGATAATGGGAGCGGAACATGCCCTGGTACTGAAATGTGTCAAGCCTAGACCATAAGGGTAAACACTTTTGGTAGTAGGAAAATATTAAGGGGTGAAATTCTTCACTAACGTGCTTAAAATTACACAACTTCCCTGCTTAAAGACCCTTTTTAATTTGAGATTAGACTGGACTGTTTAATAACTTGGTGAATGATAGTTGATTTTGAGACTGAAATTGTCTGGATCCATTATCTAGTTTTTTACCTCCCTCATAGTGTCTCCTGTAAAATATAAAAATTTAAATGATGAGAGATTATTACATTTCTGCGTACCCTTTGTTTTCTTGTGTTCAACTCTTCTCAAGTGACTGAAAGGTATATTAGGAATGTAACCACTAAGACATCCTGTGCTTTGGAAATATGGGAATGTTAAAAAAGTAAATACCTTGAAAGATAACTAGTTGGATTTCTGATTTGAGTTTTACTTTTATATACTAAGTGAAAAGAGTTTACAGCTCCAATGATGTATTGTCACATCACTTAATACTTGTTAGCTGCATGAGATGTCAACTTGTTAAATGTTATGGAAGTCTATAAAAATTTGGAATTAACCATAGAAATCAATGAGACTAAGCTTCATGCAAGAGGTATCCCTCTGCTTAATGATAAAATTGTAGAGGCATGTTGAAAAAGAAATAACGAGGGGAATTAGAGGGTTTCCACTTTCCCTTTCCTGTTGTTTTCATCCCTTTTTTCTCCTAACCTCCTAGCCACCTAACCAATTCCTTATCTTTCCTGTTGTTTTCATCCTTTTTCCTCTTGGTTTCTTGCCAACATGTAGTCAGCTGGCTATATTTTGAATCCTCTTGTCAACTTACAATGCCCTCACTGATTCTGTTAGAACGAGTCAATTGCTCCATTGACAGTGCATGCTATATAGTTTTGTGAGAGTTTTCAGTACGTTAAATCTTCTCACTTTTACCTGTGACGCAGGTGGTCTTTATTGGAAAAGTATAGCTGCAAAGCCTCAAAGCTTCACCTGAAGCCCCGGAGATTTAAAATATTTTTAGAAGCCTGGTTAGTGAAAGCTATTTATATTTTTCAGGGAAGTTCTGATTTTTAATATCTTCTGTAGTTTCTGGAGCTGATATATATTTTTTGTCTCAAAGGAGCATCAACTATTGAAGGACCGAAAAAGAATGTAAGGAAGCGACCCTGCAGGGGGGAATTGTCTTCCTCCTGTGCCTACCACAGTCTCAAATCAGGGTAGAGCATCAGGAAACGAGGCCCGTGCAGTTAAACTGGTTCTTGTTGATAGTCAAAATATTTTAAAATTGGGACCTTCAAAATCATCAATGAAGGCCAATATAAACATGGGTGTTAGCCGGAGTAACACTAAGGGAGATTCAAATACCATGAAATCGACAAGCAACGAAAGAAATCTGGTGATTATTTTTCGGTTCCCTTCAAGATATTTTTACCTGTTTTCTGTTTTGAATTAGTTTTCTTTCATGACTATTGGATAGTTTATATTTAAAGTCATAAATCATAATTTTACTTCTTTACAAATAAAAAAATGTTCTCTGCTCTCTCTCGGTATGATTTCAACTGCTTGCATATCGAAAATGGGAGAAGGCTGCAATTGCTGGCGTTTCTTTAGTTGCAGATGATGCTGCGAGCATTTGGAGCGAGCTGCAACTGTTAGAGAGATTGAACAAGACCAGGGAAATCCAGGTAGCTATCACACTTTTTTTAATCTTATCCTTGCTTCATCAAGGGCTTCCTCAGATCTTCTGTAACTTCACTCTGATTTTAATTCCAGGAGAAAAGTGTTCTGATCCAACTGATTATGTCCTGCCATCTTTACCCTCATGTCCGCAAAATCAATTTGTTGATAACAATGTGAATAGTATGAAACTTAAGCTCCAGTATTCCCAATCGATAACCCACTCGAAGAGCATTGGAAGTGGTGAGTATAAAGAAAACCAATGTCCATCTTACTGTAGCAATGTGACAGAACTTTTGGAAACTATTATATTATATGTTTCTTTTCCTTTTAGGATAAGCATAATCCTCACCTGGAGCTTACACTTAGTACTCGAAGAAGATATCCTCAATTTTGGAACATCTAAACGTAAATGGGGTCATTCTAGCATAGCAGTTGGAGAATTAATGCTTTTTCCTTATGGTGTTCAAAGGGAAAATTTGTTTAATTATCAGAGATGGTCCCAGGAATCTACTCTGAGTGCAGCTGATATTTATGCAATGATTGGAAGTCCACCCATATTTCGTTTAAGGTACCTCTTTTATCTTGCCCTCTTGCTTTATTGTCATATTTGAAGTTCATAAGTAGAGACATGTAAGACAGATAATTTGATTGTAATGTTAGCAATATAATTGATAGATAAAAGAAAATGTGAAAATCCATTTGTTATACAAATGAGCTAAATGTTTTGAGGAATCTTTACTTACAATAAATGCTATAAATGGAAAGCCAACTGAGTTACTTCACCTTCTTTATTCAAGACAGTTTTTTAAGTATTTATTGAGTGTTTTTAGTCGTTGTGGGATTTTGAGAACATTCATGACAAAGAAAAACAGCATGGAAGGTTCGTGGATCTATTTTATTTAAAATGCATGGGATTGACTAAAAATAGGATATTTAGAATATAATTTGAATATATTCAATTCCTAGCTTTTGATTCGTTGGTTGTAATATATAGACAAAATTGTGATCAAATTTTTCACGTGCAAAACTTGACATACTTATAAAAGTGTAAATGTGACTAATGTTTCTAGAAAAAATAAGTCATTTCCTCTTTCTTCACTTTGAGAAACCCATAGCCTATACTTTAGTCAGCTTATGCAACAAAACACAGACTCTCTGACAGGTATTTCAACACCTGATATCCAAAATATAGGATAATGGGACATACTCAGACATATACGTACATCAATTAGAGAAAAAAATATCACCAACATGGCAAATATTTTAAATTGGTTATCACTATTTAATTTTTTACCTTCCCGTGATATGCACCTGACAAGATTACTAAGGCATTTTTTTAGTGTAGTTTGATTCTGCTTCATCCTATGATAATGAACCTAAAAAGAACAGGGACATTAATTTTTTTATTTTGTATTATATTTTATTTGGGTTTTCTAAATGTTTAGAATATCTAGTGAGAAATGCTGGGCATAAGTTGTTTTTTGTAATCGTGTTGAAATCTTACCTGACATTCCTGACACCTTAAGCCGGGGTGTATGTTTGTTTTAATGTGTATTTACATTGTAATGATCTTATTCACTTATCTTTGTGAAGGTATGGTTGGTTCTCCAATTCTGAACTTGGGTTATTAAATATGCAAGTGCCTGTAGCATCCGGCTCCATCCTCACACAATCCAAACGTAGTGTGTATAATTCTAAGGATCAGATTGTGAATTCAGTTTCATTTCCTACGGCAGCAGCTAATGCTCATTCCATGGAGCTCTCTGAAGGTTGCAGAATATCCATGAACAGAAACCATACTCTCATGACCTCCTCACCTGGTGTGCCTAACACTAGAGGCAACAGTGCTTACCTCAATACAAGCTCTGACGAATCTCGTCATCCTACAGCCAACACATTGTGGCATGAAAAAGATGTCGGGGATGAAGCTGTAACTACGCAGTTAGAAGACTTGGTAATTGCAATCCTCTCAATCTGTTTCTTCTATTAGCCCGGTAGTTTTACTTTAGACTTTCAACTTGTGCCGAAGAATCTTAATGGGCTGCATTGTTGTACTTTGTTGGGTCTCATGATATAAATTTTCTCATTTATTGTGATCTTGGGCATATCTTCCCCCCTGTTTTAGATTGTTATGTTTCAATTATGCACTTCGAGGTTGAGTGGTATACATTAACGATACTATTTTATATCTGATCAGTTAAATTGCATAATTTGTTCAATCTTCCATAACTTTTAAGTTCTTCATATTCAGGAAGAGTTAAAATTAAGCAGTGGAACAGGACTGTCAGCTGGAGAATGGGCTGACAGTCTTACCAACATTAGTGTGGGGGATCTACTTTCAGGAGTGTCCCAGGATCTCGAAGATGACTGCATCAATCCTCCTATTGCTGATAATTGTCATGATGTTCAGCAAGTTCCTTTTAGTAGCGATTCTTTTGATGCTGCCATTGCTGCTCACATATCTAGACACCAAGACAAGATGGGACAATCGACGCTGGCAGCCCATATGTCTTCCATCTGGGATGCTGAAGAAACTTGTGATGCCTTTATATTTCGAAGAGATCACATTCTTCATGCTGATCGTCCTTGTTTGTCTCCAGTTGCTTCTTTAGAGTCCGAGAAAAAGGTTCCTGAAAGAAGCTTTGAGAAATTGGACGAGGTAGTGCATCTTAAATGTTATTACTAGACATTGCTTGCGAAGTGAAATTTACTTTCGTAGTATTTATTGCAGTTGTCACCGGAAAGAGAGGGGCTTGTGGATGATTTTGTTCAATCAGACCCTATGCCTATGGACAGTTCCGAGTCCGATGCAGATATCCAGGATCATTTAGGAAAGGATTTTAGTGCGCTAGCAGACATATATTGGGTATTTTTCTTCTATACTTCAGTTTTTTTCCTTGTTAAAGTCCACGGTCTTTTTGTAGCTGTTTAGATTCACTTAAATCAAGACAATTCGTTGGAAGTTTATGTTAGGGAGTTATTACCATCATATTTACGTCCTGCTACTTTGAACTATCAAACAAAATAGTTAATGATCTTCAAGAACTTTTTGAACTGTTAATATGCAGTGAGTCTGACTTTATTTCTCACAATGTTTTTTTATTCTATTATGTGGCAGCCTGATTCCTTGGGGCCTTTGGATTTGGATATACCATCATCAACAAAGTACCATACCGAGGATCTAATTTTTAGTGACAGTCTTAGTGGACTGAATCGCTTGATAGCAAGCAGCCTGGATGCATTTCAGAATTGCTCCTTTTTTGGGTTTGACAAGAAGGAAGCACCGTCAACAGTTGAGGCTCGAGAATCTGCCACTCTCTCAGATTTTAAAATTGGAAGTGGTATCTGAGACTCATGATGACTGGATCTTGGTAATGTTTTCCTATTCTGGCGTGAACTGGGTTGAAGTTTGTTAAGAATTAACAATTTTCCTTAATCTTACTGGAGGGTGCATGCTGAAGAAGTGTACCGAGTCACTTCAACTCTTCCTGTATATGTTTCTCTAATCTGTCTCTCTTTCCTTTTGTACAAAGAAACTGTAGAAATTCTCCTTTTTTAGTTGAACATACATTTTTTATTCTCTGCTTCCTGGATGTTGTGTTTTCAGAAGACCGCGTTTTGCAACTCCGTGGCATGGACTTGTTTTTAAGCTAATGGACTTTTTCTTTTGATAATGCGTGGAAGATAACTTGCGTTAGATACTTAACCAAGACTTAAAAATCTTCCGAAACACTTTAGTTAAATGCAAGGATGCTCCTAAACCAAAGAAAGGTTTATCTAAGATGTTACAAACACACCTATATAACAAAGACTTAAAAGGAAACAAAGCAAAACATAAAAGGAAAGTAATTGAGATGTAAATGGTATATAAAGATGCTATAAACTAACGATTCTAATGTAAAGATGCAAGAGATACTTTGGAGCCCCTTCACACACCTTTACTTCTAATGGTGGAAATTAAACTATTACACAAATTTAGCTATGGAGATGGGATTGTACCAATGACATTTTCTCAAGACACAAAGCAAAGAAAAATGAACCAAAATTACAAATCAAATGAAACCAAAAGTTACACAAAATTGTGATATAGAACAATTAAAGTAATGTGCAAATGGTCTTGATTTTGTCATCTTCAAGCGTTTGTCCTCTCTTTGTATCTTTCTCTCAATTACTGTGAGTTTCCTCTTTTTTCAAACTCCAAAGGAGCTTTCTCTATTAGTCTTCCTTCAAGTCTTCCTTCAACTTTTATGCAACTTTCAAAATTAGTCAAACTCCAAAGAGGAAGCACAAACCACAATATGTTTTCAAGCACTCAAGAAATTAAAGAAATAAAACAATGAAGCACAATTTGGAAGCTAAACTTAAATCGAAATAGAGGAGATAAGACGTAAGGAAAATCAAGAAAATGAAAAATTAGAAATAAGGCCAAAATCAAGTATGCGCTCAAAAGGAAGTCTTAAAGAATGATGCTAAAATAGATGAATAAAACTAAAACAAACTAAGGAATTAAAGATGTAATATGCTTCAAAGGAAAGGATGCTTATAGAAACCACAAGTAATACCAAATTTAAGTTCAAGAACATACAACACAAAAATGGATCATGTGAGACAACACGGAATGGTCAAGAACATAGAATTCAAAAATGGGTAAGAACTATAACATTTATCTCTTGTAGACCTCTAAGGAAAGTTATTATAACTTTGATACCAAATGATGGAAGCTCGTTCAACAATGTTGATGAAGACTCCTTGTTGAAGAGATTGATGACGCAAAAGCATGAAGATTAGGAGGTTGAGTGGCTTGATGAGTGTGGTGTCATATGCATCTAGAAGGAGGTTGGCCCAACCTTGAAGAAAAGGTAGAAGAAGTCTAGAAAAGAGACAAATCCTATTGAGAACTTAGAGAAGTGAGGCTTGAAATTTTGGAAAGGTTTCTCCAACATCATTCAAGTTCTAAGAAAATTCAAGACAAGTGCTTCTCCTTTTATAGTTGAAGGAAAAAGCTAGAGTACACACATTTGAAAATAGCCTAGAAGCTTCTTTGGCCAAAGGGGATGAATGAGAGCCTTTTGCCTCTTTTTCATCCAATCACATATTGTCTTTCCTTCATCCAATCACATTTTGCCTCTTTTTCGCCCAATTACATGCAATGGATGTTTTCTCCAAGTACCTTAAGGCTAAAAACAAGCTAGATCACGTCCCATGCAAGCCCAACTCAAGAAACAAGCTCAAAACTCATTCAAGACATCATCCTGTCAACTCCGACCTTTGTTGAGTGTTTTACCCATAAATTTCTCCACAAAGTTCCAAATGAGATGATTCTTGTTTTTTTTAAACTAGACTCAAAAAGTTTTCTATTGACTATAAGCACGTAACTTTTGGTCCTCTAAGCTGGTTGCAATTCAACTTCGAAAATCATTGAGGTGAAAGCAAGTCTAAAAATGGCAAGATATCTTGGCCAAAATACAAGGCTCAAAACAAAGACTTATGTACATATTTATAAGGCTTAAGAGAAAGCAAGAACAAGATTGAAAATACCATCTTCCACAAGAGTAGAAGTCCTTGCAGTCCTTCGTCTTCTTCCATTCTCCTAGACGTAGCTTAAGTTGTAACTCCCTGGATAGATCTCCATCAAGTTCCTAGGATGGTTTCCATAATCTTTTACCTCCTATACTAGTGTAGGGGATGGAAAAGAATGCATTTATCTTGGTGATTTAAGGACAACTCTTGTCCTAAAAAAAAATGAAAGGTTCTACTAAAAATCACATATGGGAAGTCTTTTGCCTTGATTGATGTGTTACATGGGCCATTTATCAAAGTTAATCTAATATCTGTAACACTACTTGAAAAGGTTGGGGTTAAAGTGTCATTTAAATTTGACAAGATTGTTGACAAAAATATTATTTTTGTGAGGAAGAGATATTGTAATCAAGGTATCATCACAATATGTGGAGGATTGTTGGAGTTATCCAGGGTGTTGAAAACTAACCACTTTAAGAGATTGAGGCTTTAATATCATCAGCCCTAGATCATTTTTTAAAAATCTTAAAAAACATTTGAACTATTTGTTCTTCCTCTGTAAGATCTGGTTGAGTAATTGCAAGTGAATTTGTTGGCCAACCTTTATCGCAAGGTGCAATACTTTCTTCTTAAGCCAAGGATAAGTGGTTTCCCATGGGTCTATAAATAAATCCTCTTTTACACTTTGAAAAACAAACATTAAGCTTTTTAGTCTTCTTTTCTCTTCTTTCTCTCATTCTCTCCTTCTCTTTTTGTACTTTCATTATTTTATTAACCTAGGTTAGTTATTTACTCTTTTTAGAGTTTCTTGCTAGTTCTTGTATCTTGAGAAACTTGCACAACATATTACGGATAAGTCCTTAAGGGTAGTGAATATACACGATTAAGGAAGTTCATCTAGTTTAAGTTTTTGTCAACTAGTACAACATGTACAAGGTGTCGTGTATCCTGCTTCCATGTGGAGCTACTCGAAGGCGATGAAGTTTAGGAACATGTACTTAGTGGTGTCCTCCACGACCAGGGTTTGCAGCAAAAGCACATTGTTTCCGAGGTTGTGTCTATGCGACTTTTGTCATGATACTGAAGCTAAAAATAGGCTTATGGAGTCTTGACCAAGAGCCATCATGCAACCATAAAGTTGTGCGATTGAAGTCTAAAGACCATTACATTGTTGCATTCTCCAGCTTCACCAAAATCATCCTCGCGCTTCCTCACTAGGAAAGGGAATCACTCGCTACTAGAGCTCGACAAGACGTCAAGGAAAAGGAAGCATTTGACAAGAAGCACAACAGGAGGATTGTCAATTTGATCTGGACCTCATACATGAAATACGAGAAGAAAGTCAAATACGAAAAGAAGTAGTGAAACAAAGAGTTGCATAATGGAATAACACACAAGAAAATGAGCAAACTTTTCGTAGAGACGACCTTGTGTGATGTAAGCTTAGAGAAGCAAGAAGTGACAAACTTGAAAGAAAGTTATAACCTAACTGAGATGACCCTTACTGCGTAAAGATGCATTCCAAAATGGAGCATACAAGCTTGAAGATCTCGGTGGTAAACAAATATAAAAGGCATTGAATGCCACTCATTTGAAAATATATTATAGGTGATGCTATATTTATGGATATGTGTACTCTTTTTTCTTAGCCAAGATTTTATCTCTATGTTGGGTTTTGATGGGCATGGTTTTAACAAGGTACATCAAACATTAACATTAATAAAATTCCTCTATTTTAAATACTGTTATATTATATGTTTTGGAATCAATCATTAGTAGAAATAAGTGTTCAAGAAAGTGATACTTAGAAAATCTGAGCATAAACGTCTGAATATGTGACTGCTCGATCAATTCGAACACGAGCATCTAAATATGTGAATACTCAGATAAATCCGAGCATGATCGTCCAAATATGTGACTACTTGGAAAATTCAAGCAGAGTGTCTGAATGTGTGACTAGTCGATAAATTTGAACATAAACGTTTGAATATGTGACTACTCAGTAAATCCAAGCATGAACATCCAAATATGTGACATATAAAAGTTAAAAAATGTGATCAACTCGAGAAAATTCGAGTATAATTTAAACGTAAAAGAACATGATATAAAGGCTCAAAAATATGTGATATCTCAATCATAAAATAAAAATAGCATACAAACTCGTTGATTTAATAACTTGATCCACTGAACGTGCTCAACCCATATTTACAATATTATATTTTTAGCATTGTCCAAAAAGTTAAAGATTCGATCCATAAAATATATTAACTATCTTGAAATAAAGGAAAGATAATATATAAAAAAGATATATTATCTTATACTTAATAAAAACATAATTCAATTACAATAACATAACTCTTTAATAATATTTATCTCTTATTTTTAGGCGTAAGATTATATACATAATTCAATTATAAGAACATAACTCATTAATAATATTTATCTCTTATTTTTAGGCCTAAAGTTATAAATATATACCAGCACACTAAGTATAATAATTTTATAATTGTATTTACTCCAAAACTCTTCCTAATTTGAATATCTGATAATCTTGCGTAAGATTATATACATAATTCAATTATAATAACATAACTCATTAATAATATTTATCTCTTATTTTTAGGCGTAAGGTTATAAATATATACCAGCACACTAAGTAAAATAATTTTATAATTGTATTTACCCAAAAACTCTTCCTAATTTGAATATCACATAATCTTTGCTGATAAATTTTTCTTACATTATAATTCGAAATTCAATCTTACATCAACCACTTAGTCAACCAGCTGGAACACTATTTGATTAAATTAGGTGGGGACATGTATAAATTAGAATAATATATTTATATTTTGTTAGTTTATTCTTCAATCATGAATAATGAGATAATATAGATTAAATAAATATTATAAAAGTTAACGTTCAATTTATTTTAATTAGAATGATATGATATAGTAAAATAATAAAATTATTAATATTAATATTTTATCAACTGACGTAGTTATTTTTTATATATAAAGCAACATGATTACTCTGATTAATACGAACTTATTACCATCACCTATAGACTCATTTATAAGAAAGAAAAAGAAAATATGTTCAGTGTACTTAAATATAAAATTTTCAAACTTCCAAAGTTGAATCAATTTAAAAATACTTTTATATTCAATTCCAGGAATCACATCCAAGACTAATTCAGAGAATACACTCATGGAATCAGGAATATTAAATATACTCAACTACCATTTCTGTTATAGGTGAAACTAGTTAATTTTTTTTAATATGAAATAAGAGGAAATATAACAAGTTTATTTCAATAATTGATCAAATATATAAATTTTTCCGTCCAAATTAAAGACAATCTTTACAACACTTCAACAATTACCGTCCAACGAGCCAACAGAAGAGTGCACATGGCTATGGATTTCTGTAGCAGTGATTCTGCAGTCATGGTGTTTGCTGAATAAGCTCCTGGCGAAGTTGGTTTCCTCTTCCATCGACAAAACTTGAGAATCAGTTTCAGTGTTTATCAAACATAGTTTTCTGCCAAATCCAAACCCCACCTATAAGTTAACGCTTCTGCAACACCAGGCTCAAACATGAAGGAATAAATTTTGAAGCTCATATCCAAACCCCACAATCTTCCTTTAACAAATTCAAAGACTTGGGATTTAGATCTTCCAATGCAATAGTTGTTGGAAGACCCAAGTATTTATGATGCTTTTCCATTGCTTTGATACAGTAGCTCTCTCCTATTATTGAAATGATTATCTTATAATAATTTCATGAAATAATTATTATGCAAATAATTGTATCAAATTGATCTTGTCTTGTCTTTATTTAAAAATAGAACAAAGATTAAAAAAAATTTATACTCTGCGTATCGATTTCTTTGTATTGGTCAAAATCTGTTCAAAATCATAAAATTATATGGGTCAAACTTTTTATCCAATAAGCTTCATTCACAATTTTATAATCTGAAATACCAATAAAAGAGAGTTTTGCTGGGAGTCGTACCATCTCTTTTACATATATGGTTGCAACAGCTGATTTTACAGAACAAAAGAGAACCCTACAAGAATACTTGTCTTGAGGGTGGACATCCTGATAAAATAGCAGAGTATGAAATTGACCTAAACATGTTATATTAACATCACAGTAACACATTCAGATCAAAAACAGCGGAAGAAAAAATGAAAGAATAATGTGCGTACCTCCTGCCATTGCAATTTTGTAAATCTAAACACAAGACAGCTTTGTTTTCTAAACCTTGACTCACTCAAACTCGATGGTGTGTTTTTCTGAATAGAGGAGTAGGCTTAGTGATCAAAACTGAGAGTAACCCATTCCCTTATATAAAGTCTGGCCATCACAGGTTTCAAAATAAATGGGCTTTACGTTTAAAAATTAATAACTGCTCTATAACCTCTATGCAGTTAAAAGCATAAAAATAATGGCTTAATGGACCACTTTATGTTCCTTAAAAATAGGAACTGAAAATGCTATAATATTTATTTTATATTTAAAATAATGCTAACACATCCTTGAAGGAACTTAGAAATGATCATAATCATGCAAAACTGGTATTTCAGCTCCACATAGTCGTTATGAAAGAAAGTTGGATGAAGGCGGATTTATGAATCATCCATTCTCTTCCATTATTTATTCCTAGACTTTGAAGAAGCCCATCCAAAGTAACCGCAGTTTGCCTCAGGATTAGACGCAGGGCCCTGTAAGTGGAAATCACGTTAATATTCACCACCTACTATATAGGCTGGTGTTACTGAAATTAAGAAATGACAAACCCAAAAAACACAAGGTCAAACAGAAAAATATAATATAATAACCCCGTGCATACTCGTAACAAGCTCAAAGATAGATCATTAAAACAAGTAACGCTTACTATTTTTCTTGACGTATTATATGGTGCAAGTATGCTAGCTCTTATACAAGACTGAATCCTCATTTTGGTCCTAATATATATGACCTTTCAATTTAGTCACTAAAACTAAATTGCTGCATCCTGGTAAACTCTAATGGGTTTATGAATCTAGTTTACTAAGCATCTACAAATTTTCATAAACTATTGAGTTTGACAACCTTGAAATCAACTAAAAGATCAATATTTTTTTAATTTTCAGAGGTGACTTAAGTTCTTAGATTGACAGATGGATTGAGTTGAGTCCTCCCAAAACTAGAGTTCAATGCAAAAAATTAATTGTCAGAGTAAGAAGCATAATCAATGCCTAAAACCATTCAATGGAAACAAATTACCTCAGCGCGAGCACAAACATAGAATCTGCGGCCAAAATTTGGTCCTTGTTTTTTCACCACCCGAGCTATACAAGGTTCCTTATGGCCCTTGCAAATAGGTATACTATTCTGCATCAACTGTTGTATTCGTTGCCACTCTAATGAAGCCACATTACTCTTTTCTTCCTTTGTGGAACTATCCTTTGGCCCAGCTAAATCCTGATCACGTGCATCAGTATCCAACGAACATTGCTTGGGACTGATACTGTGATCAGACACTGTAGGAGTTTCATGTAACTGAGGGTTGGGTTGAGAAGGTTCATCCTGACTAATTGAGCAATCAGTATACGAGGAGCCATTGATGTCATTGTCAAGATTTGTACTTCTCTGGAAAAATGACCGAAGTGAGAGCTGGGACCATTGACTATTTCTAGCTTTTTTGTTGGGTTTTTTACACTTGTGCATTATTGATTTTTCACTTTCATTCACTGATTTAGAAACAGCCTCCTGAGAAGAGCCTCCGGAAAGTTCATTTGGTTTCAAAATGCTACCTTTATAAACTTGTCTTGGAAGAATTCGACATTCATTTGGACTGGTTGCAGATGAAGCAGCTCTGTTAACTGGTTCTTCTCCCTCATAAGTACTATGGATTGCAATGTCTTCATGTGCCATCTTGCATGATTTAATTTGTTCAGAAACTTTCCTTTTCATCAACACTGACACTGCAAGAAAAGGTTCAGAAACAAAAAATTGTGTATAAAGAGAGTCTCATCCAAAGAAGAAACGATGTTTGGTACCCAGAGTTTGTTGTATGCCGTGAACCATGGGAACATATCTAGCAGATAAGGAAGGAGTACTGTGCAGAGAGACCTCAGAAATTTCATGTAAAGACACAAAAACTGGAGCATGATCAGATCCTTCCAGTTTAATGCTGCGCCCTTCCTTCCACCTATGGGCACTGAGCAGATCATGCAACTAAGTTATATCCCAACCTTGAGGAAGACACATGCAGCACACATGCATTCAAATATTGATCCATTTAACAGAGTAAAGGTGAATAACCACATTATGAGTTGAAAACAAAATAAAAAGTCCATTAAAGAAATATGTTAAGAAGTGGACTTTTAAATTAACTCAATCTTTGTAAGGTAAGGTTTTTATCCATAAATTGACCTTATCTCTAATCAAAGTATGACTTCCAATAAAATACAAAGGAAAACTATGAAAAGAGAAAAATAAAACAAGTTACGAAAGTAGCAATACCATCTTTGCAAATTCCATAAATATGTAATATCAAATTATCTAAACACAAGGGCATGTTAAGTTTCACCAAGTACAAGACATTTACATCAATAAAAATAACCATCTAGGTTCACAGGAAAAAGAGCTTAGGATTCCACATACAAGGCTTGCATAATACCTCGGAGTGCTTTCAGGCTTACACCGTTTGTACTGTGTCAGAATGTCACATTCCTTGACATGACATCTTACAAAACTATGCCATTGCAGGTCATCTGATTCATGTAGGCATGAACCAGAAAACAGTATATGGTCAATTCTACTCCCAAAGTTGAATACTTCAGCACCTGTACTTTGCGACCAACAGGTGTATGCTTCCCTTCTGCATACAATCTCGAAGTGTACATATATGATTTAACAAAATTAATACTGATCATATTAAAGGTGTGATCCCATAATATTGAAAACACCATGTAACATTTGAAAAGACAAGGGAAATATGGAGGATGGCACATTACTAGCCAGTAGCCGCATGGACGAAAACTGTGTCAAACAAAAGACTAAATATAAGATTAAAAGTTAAAACATAGTTTATTATTTAAGAAAAAAAATTCTTGTAATCTGAATTTCAAAAAAGACTACTTAAATATGAAAGTAAAAATAATATAATCCCATATTAAATATATATATTCCCATAAAAATAAAAAAAATATGATACGATAAGTATCAATGAATATCATTAAATTTTCAAGGAGAAAGCTACAGATCATATTTGATAATTAGAAATACAGAGTATCCATACCTGTCAGGATGTTTAGCTCTGAAGGCATCACAAAATTGACCGCCGTTTTCAATTAACATTGATTTGAACCATTTTCTAAATCTTCATATAAATTCAGGAAAAAAAAATTAAGACAACTAATAGCATGTGAGATTTAACACCACAAAAGATGCTTCATAGAATTTGGGTAGAAAACTCACTCATTATTTTCAAAATCAGCTCCTGCATCACATCGATCAATTGCAAATGGGGCAATATTGAGATCACCAACAACACATATTCTCCTTCCTTGATGCAGGAGAGACTCCCATCTTTTCTATTAAAGAGACTATCGACATCAATCAACCAGAAAACAAGAGAAATGGAAATTTTCAGTTTTGTAAAACTTAACAGAGGCACAAGAAATGAACATCAAAGATAAACTACAATATTCATGTCCTATATTTTTAAGGGTAGATTTTCTTCTTTTGATATTTAGTGTTCATTGAATCATATTAATTTACAGGAAAAACAAAATAAATAGTTATAATACTACTTTTAAAAAACTAGCTTTATAGTTTCTTACTCTCTGCTCTGAACACGTTTTGATGGACAGACAATATTCCTGTCAAATTTTCTTAGCAATGATGCAATTGGATGAACGTATTCAAACTTTTCAAACATACATTCTAAATATAATTATTAACTACTGAATTTGGTTAAATAACTTAATGATTCCATTAACATATGAACATTTCAAATACCTGTAATACGCTGTAAAATTTTTGCTTAAACTGAATCCTCTCGGTGTCATCACTTGCAGCTCGAGGCCCATACACATTGAAAAGAACTGAACAGAATTGAATACAGGTATCCAATATGTCAAAAAATATATATATACTTATTTTTCGAATCACACTAATGTATCATGCTTCACACAACTGGTTTCAATTTTTTTCCTCCTATACTAACCAAAGTGAGTGTGATCCGTGATAATGCATCGCCCCTCACTATCAAGACTTATAAGCTCATCTTTTGAAAATTCCTTTAGATCATCTGTCATGAACGGCAATTCATCTTTGCTAGTTTGAGAGTTTTCCAGAAGTCCAGTAAAGCCTTCCTCTGCTGCTAGTGGCAATGCCACTTCATTACTAGAAAATGCTGATTTTACACGACAAAACGTAATAACGCCTGCACACACAACACAATATATTGAGTCAGAAGTATGATTTAGATACTTTGTAGCACCCTCTTTCAAAAAAGTCTTTACAGTTGAATAAAATTTATTAAAAATTACAAAATTGTGGAATCTCACTTCTTATCAAGTAAGTTTCAGTCATATGATAATCTAATTTTGTTTTTGGTTTCCCACAAGTTTCATCCTTTTAGGCAATCCTGTTTGAGACAAGGTGAGTTACCTAGAAGCTAGAAACTTGTCTCACCATGATGGTGGAGACTAGCCCCTTAAACTAGAACAAACCTTAAGGTATCATAATTTTGTAATTCTCTATAAGAAGTAATACACTCTTCTTCCACTTTTTTTATTGAACAAAATTTATTGAAAATTACAAAATCAGGACAAAATAATTAACTAATTGTGTGACCCACTAAATTTTGTGATTTCTAATCCACGAGAGGGAGAGAGAGAAAGAGAAAGAGTTCAAAAGAGTGTGCTAATAACATATTTTTCTTATCAATATATTTTTAAACAATAAAAAAGGACGTATTTAACATGTTAATCAGCATTGATACATAAACCACAAAGAAGCAATAATATAATCTGGAAAAAAGAAAATAGGAAACTATGTAGGCTATTTTTAGAATGAATGAGAGAGGGGAGGGGTTACCGGAATAGCCAGTTCGACCCTTCTGGGAGGTGCGGGTGCAGGAAAAGAAGGATTCGTAACCGTCCGCCATGATCAAGTCCGCCGTAAGTTCCTGTCTCCGAAGTTTGGTCTCCTGAAAACAAAGGATGTCGGCGTCGAATGAATTTAGCAGATTCCGGAGCGACCCGAACTGCGATATGCGCTGTCTCAGGCCATTCACGTTGTAACTCACCATCTTCATTCTTTCACCCTATCTTCTTCTCACTCACACAATTTACAATTTAGGTTTCCAATTTCCTTTCTTCTTTCTTCTTTTCTTTAGCCCATCGTCTTCTTTCCTCCCCCTGGTACGCAATTGTATAAACAGTTTATTTCTTCATTTTTTTCTTCTTCTTCCTACATAGAAAATATAAAAGTAGTGGAATTCCAAATATTTTTGTACTATATTGTCTTTTTAGTTTAGGCTTAGAGTTAAACATATGCGTAAATCAAATTTCTTTTAATAATTTTAGTCAGGTTTAATCTTTCAATATATCTCTATTTTTTTACAGAATTTTAGAAGATTTTTTTTTTTCAATTGCATCTTTATTTTTATAAAATTGAATTAAATAGAATTTTTTTGTCAAATTAATCAAAGACGGCGTGACCTGAGATGATAAAAATGTCTTTTAACACACATATCATTAAAAACGTTAGTAAATTTTATTATTTTAAATTTTAAATTAAAAATTAAATTAAAAGAGTGAAATTCAAATACAAAAAATCTCAAATTCTCTGTAATTCAAATATATTTAATTTAAAATTTAATAAATATTTAGTTTAATTTAATATTTTAATATAATTTAATATATATTAATATTATAAAAATATAAAATATTAATTATTAAAATAAAATAAATTAAAAACATTTTAAAAAAATTAGAAACGAAAAAACAAAAGATAAAAATAAAAAAGTTAAAAGTAATGAGAAAATGGTAGTCATATTTGAAAATTGTGTTTAGGGTTTTACAATTCATTGAAAATATATATAGATTTTAAAATTCGTCCAACTTTCCTTTTGAAAGCTAATAAAAGTCTTTTTTTAATAAATTTCAAAATTCAGTTAAACAAATTTCGAAATTCATTCATTCGTTAAATAAAATTTGAAATTCGTCACAATGAATTTTAAAACTCGTTTAAGAGTTTCGGATTTAGAAATAATTTCGAAATCTGTTTAAGATTTTAATGAATTCGAAATCAATCTAATTTTAGTTGAAGTTTGAAATTCATTTAAGCTTTTAAACAAATTTTGAAATCTGATTAAGGTTCAACCGACCTTGTGCAACCTTCAATCTTTGAATTTTCATGGGTGAAGTGGAGTCAAAATGTAGAACAAGAAGTGTGTGTCGTGGTGGGTAGGTGTGGAGTCAAAATGCAGAAGAACCTTTAGAGGTGCAGGAGGTTAGGGTTTGCAAAAAAGAGTGTGTGTGTCATGGTTCGTGGGTGTGTGAGTTTATTAGGTCAAAGAAAAAGTTAAATTCTTTTACCTAATTTAAAAATATTTTAACCAAGGCTAGTTTTGGTATTTTTAGAAAAGTTAGAAGTGTGGGGAGAAGCACCCATGATTTTTTCGCACACCACAATCTTAGACATGCACTAGAATCAAGGACTAAATAGAACATAGGTAGAGATTGTAGCAAGAAAGAGATAATAATTAACATAGTGATGTACATTATTAACCACGAATATCAACAAGGGTGTTCTTACTATGCCCTTTATCTAGAGCATGTGTTAATATTTTTCTTATGTGTCTTCATTCATTAGTTGTCACTCGGAATATTTTTACACATAATTTTGTTTACTCATTTAGTTTTATTAAGTATTTATATGTAATTTGCCAAAAACTTTGTAGCTCAATCTAGGCTCTTGAAAAAATTATTTCGCCTTCATCATGCTCTTTACCTTCAGTTCCTCCAGATGTCTCATGACGAACATTGTCAGATGGTCAAAAACCATGTTATCAATGTGGAGTCTGGTCCAACGCTCTGATAAACAATAGTGTCATTGTTTTGAAGATCAAGTGTCACCTCCACTAACTCCTTCACAACAAAGTTCAAATCTGTTCTTGGCAAAGTTTGACTAATGCAAAATAGACATATTATAATAGAATATTAGAGCGGTTGTAGTGAAACAGATGTAATCTATAATGCGGTAACGAACATATAATAGTTGAGATGGGTCTTCGTTTGGAGTTACAACCACAAGCTCACAATAAATAGACATATTTACCTCTTGTTTGTCATACTCTATTTAAACTCGAGAAAAAGAGTTTTTGTGAAAGTCGACACAAAATAAAAGTACTACAAGAATACTCTTCAAATATTAAGTGTCTTGTGTCAATGGAAGATTTGAAACTTGTTGGCTTAAAATTTCGTGATATGTCATCGCTCGTATTTTCATGTTTTTTAATAATATTTCTCATAAAGTAATAGAGCGTGACACATTGGATGACTTGGAAAATGAAGCTATCTTTGTCTTAGAGATGCACTTCCTTCCTTCATTTTTTGACATCATGGTTCATTTAATAGTTCATCTAGTGAGAGAAATCAAAATATGTGGACCTGTGTTTTTAAGATGAATGTTCCTAGTTGAGTGATATCTGAAAATATTTAAGGGGTATGTGAAAAATTCATATAATCCAGAAACATTTATTGTTGAGAGGTAATATTACTAAGGAAGCAGTTGATTTTTATACGAAGTATATGTCAAAAGCAAAGGTTATGATGTTCCAAGACATGAAGGAAGGAATGAAGGTAAAGGCACACATGGTGTAAGGGTGGTTCGAAAAAATCAACATGAAGTTCTCCAAGCACATTTGTACATATTGAACAACATTAAACCATCAGTGAGATACCACTTTGTAAGAGCTAGAATTCTAACCATATGTCAGGACCTACGAGTCGGGGGACAGTCTCAAGTAGACAGTTTCTATGGAGCGTAGGCCTTCCTAAAGGTAACGGAGGCATGCAAAGGTTTCCTTGGGCCAAATAGAAATTGGCCCTCAAGTGCAAAGGCAAAAGGGAGCTTGACTGTAAGACCTACCCATTGAACAGGGATGAAAGCAGTCTGATGTCGTTATTCCTTACATTGAACAGGGATGAAAGCAGTCAATGAATCCTCGGACAAATGAAAAATGGATTGAGCATAACAAGACATTTTTGAAATGGTTTAAAGAAAAAATCGGTCAATTAAATTGTAATGTCGAGGAATTAAAATGGCTATAACTTTGATGTTATAACATGGAATGCATATGACATTAACATGTTCTCTTTTTATTCAAAGGTGAAAGATAACAAAATTACTATGCAAAATAGCGGTGTGACCCTTGAAGCATAATCCACGAACTTTGCTAGTTCAAAAGATAATAATCTTGTTATGGTTTCTATAAGCTACTTTGGGGTCATTGAAGAAATCTGAGAGGTTGATTATGAAAAATTTAAAGTTTGTGTAAGTGCAAATGGGTTGATAACAATACAAGAGTGCATGCTGATGAGCTAGGATTTACATGGTTGATCTTAATAAGACGACTTATAAGGAAGATCCTTTTATCATGACGTACCAAGCAAAACAAGTTTTTTACGTCACAAAGCCTTCAAATGAGAGGTGGTCAGTTGTTCTTCAAAGAAGGATTAAATCAGATACTCATGATCATGATGACTTAAGTCTTAGCGATGTTATGACACTTATGTTATATTATAAAAAAAAAGTATGAAATCAGTCATTGTCATTAAACTTTATGGTTTCAATGTAGGTATGTAAACAAACTAATTTCCAACACAGGGAAGCTCGTGTTTATGGTTTCCTTGAGCCTCAAAATATACAAAATTATAAAAATAAAAATATGGAATGTCATAGGTATATTCAAAATTCGATGGAGAAATCCAATAAAAGAATTTACATGGACAATTTGTTGTTTAGTTATGTTCATTACACAAGAACATGCCTTCAGGCTTGAAAAGTATAATATAGAGGTATATCGTAATTACAAAAATAATGTATTATTCATATAATCAAATGTGTTGTAAATGACTAAGGATTTCTTTTTTAGTGTTATGAATTTCTACAATATGTTCGGAGGTAAATCTACTTCATTTTCACATAACTTCCAATTGATTTCTCCTAAGGTATTATTTTAGAAGAGGCTAGACAGTGGAAACAACTCTATGAAGAAGCCAAGAGGGATAAAAGGGAAGCCCTAAAAAGACTAAGGGAAGCGCAAGTCCAAGTACAAGAATCGGGGCATCAAATGAAGGAAATGGCTACATCATTTGAAGCGGAATTGAATCAGGAGCGTTGGAAGCTGGCAGAGGCTGAAGAGGAGTATCGAGCCATGGCAAGCTGGGAGGAGTCGCAGGAGTCTCTCAAAACGGATGTTGGCCAGTTGAAGGACCAGATCGGCCAGATCTTGGCGACGCTTGAATCCATGAAGACTGCTGGAGAGTCTTCATCTACGCATGTTGGGGGGAATGCTCACCCTTATCCCCCAATGTTCAACGCTGCGAGCCAATTTGTTCCTTTCCCACTGTATGGTTTACCTCCGGGTTACGCTCCTCCTGTAGGAGAGTACTCAGAAGAGATGAGCACGCTTCATTCTCGTTCCCCGCGACTGTCAATATACACCAACCACCGGCACTCAGGGACCTGTCTTAGTGTCGGCTCCCATGGTGGCACGGGAATGAATGAGACCAACACACTGATGGAATTCGGGTGACCAGTACCCGTGTGGTTGCTAGGGAGGATTCTTCAGGAAGCTGCACAGCACGCCACGATGGGGGGGGGATTCGGTAGCCTCGTGGAGCTACGGGTAGGTTGGAAAGTCTGGAGCAGGTTGAGAGCTGTTGAGGGAGTTGAGAGCTACGGGTTGGAGATGGGCCAGATTGAGTTTGTTGGGCTTGAAAATTCCGCCCTAAGTTCAAGGGCCGGAGTTTGAAAAATATAGGGGTAACACTTGCCCTAAAAGCCATGTGACCATGTACTGCAGAAGAAAGATGGTGCGTATGCTCATGATGAGCAGCTACTCATCCACGTTTTCCAGGAAAGTTTGGCTGGGGTGGCATTGAACTGGTACACCCACCTGGAGCCATACCGAATTCGTTGTTGGGCGGATCTAGCTGACGCCTTCGTAAAACAATATGTATACAATACTCATGTTGTCCGGACCGTCTGCAGCTGCAGGATATGACAAAAAAAGGACAATGAAACTTTCAAAGAGTACGCACAGCGATGGAGAGAGTTGGCTGCGCAAGTTGAGCCGCCGGTTGTTTGATAAGGAGATGGTGTCGATTGTCGTAAACACACTCCAGCGCCATTTTATGAGCATATGGTTGGGAATGTATCTGTCAATTTTGCTGA